AAACGGAAAGAAGCAGAAAAAACCATCGAATGAACCTTTCGCTCAACTCAAAATATTGATTTGCTAATGATTGGAGATAATTTTTTTTTTTTTTTTTCACAAGAAACAGAATTTTTTTAGTGAAAAGAAAGTGCCACAAGTACATGGAGAATATGGTGAAAACACCAGTCGAAGATTGTTACAGTTTACTAAAAGAGTAGAAGATCAAAAATGATAGTAGAGTCCAGGCCAGGTTGCAAAGGAATCGGAACTGTTGTAAGTGCCTTAACAAACACAAAAAATATATCTATATCTCTTTGATTTTGAAGAAATTGATCTTATTGGTGCAGTTAGTTTTGAGACGACAACTTTAACCATATTGAATTTCTATCTCATAGGTCATTTTAAAAATATTTAAATAATAATAGGAAAAGTGAATAAGAAGAAGAATACATTCTCTTGTTTTTTTCTCCACGTCATCATTAATTTGCCTCAGTTTTGCTGTCTTCGTTCCTTTTTTCTATCAAATCGTACGTTGTCAGCTTTTTTGACGTTCGCTTTTCGTCCGCTTCCGTTTTCGTCCTTGCGTTAGATATTACAAAGGATCATGGCTGCTTGATTTCCACGCAGCACATCTTAAGTTTCTTGTAGTTTTTCGATGTATCTTTTTACAAATATTTTATTTAAATTAAAGTTATTTTCAATGTATAATTTCTCGTCGGAAACATCTTAACTTTAATGTGATGAGAGTTTATAGATGAATTTTTATTAATTATATTGAGAAATATGTAATAACCACATTAATTTTTTTAATAATTATTTTTTACATTTTAAGGATTCATTTCATAAATCCCCGACTTATTAGCTAATTTTCAATGTATGTTTTTCAATATGCTCCCAATAACATACCACATATGCAAATTCATTTGACATATAGATATAAATGGATAGAGAGCATTTTAAACGATTTTCTATACATCAAAGAGAGTTTTGAACGGTTTACAAAATCAAGGACCACTTTAAAAAATGGTACATACTTCAAGGAAACATCTTAATTTTAATGTAATGAGAGTTTATAATTGAATTTTTAATAATTATAGTTGAGAAATATGTAACAACCACATTAATTTTTTAATAATTATTTTTTTTACATTTTAAGAATTCATTTCATAAATCCCTGACTTATTAGCTAATTTTTAATGTATCCCTTGATGTTTTTCAATATATCCCCAATAGCATACCACTATATGTAAATTCATTTGACATATAGACCAAAATAGATGGAGATAGCATTTTGAACGGTTTTCTATACATCAAGAAGTATTTTGAACGGTTTTGAAAAATCAAAGACTACTTTGAGAAAGAGTAAATACTTTAAGGTGCATTTGTGAAAATAATACTAAACTAAATGTTCTCAAATATCTACCTAAGGTTCTAAATGTTGACGGTGAAATTTTGTCAACAGAAATATATCGGGTTACCGCCGGTAATCAATCGGATTACCAGCTAGAACATGTGATAGTGACTAGAGAAATGTAACTGGTCGAGCGTGGATCCTAAGAGTGTTCGGAATATGAATGAGAATGCAAGAAAATAAGAAGAACGCTAGAAATTATAGTGGTCCACTCTCAATGAAAGAGCTACGTCTATTTTAAGGAAGTTTTTATTATTTTCTTTCTTCTTCGATTAAAGAGGTTTTGTTCTCTCAGTTTTTCATCATCATATCTCTCTGTGGCCTTGCCCCTTTTATATCTCATAGATTACATATCGAAGGAAACCGAGACAGAGGGTTATCTGACAGTTTCTCTTGAGTGGCCTATTATCCTACCTACCTAGGTTGTAGCTCTTCAATACCTTTTGAACTGTTCATCTACCTACTCTGTCCACTATTGCGGCTCTATGGATTTTCTGTGATTTTCATTGGTCTGTTTTAGGTGGCTTATAGGCTGGTAATCATTTTCTCTGTTGCTGACTTTCCCCAAGCCCACAAGTAACCTAGGCTTTCCTTCCTGTCACCTCAGAGGATACTCTTGGGATTTGGGTCAAAAGACTGAACGTCCCACCCTCTGCATCCCTGTCTGACCACAGCAAGTCAAAACAGAGCCCTCATCCCCGCTGATCCCTTCGTAGTGTCATTAGTTTACGGGGACTTGGATTCATCTCTGTCGATGGTTACAAGCTGATTACGCCCAAACGTGTACAAAACAAGCGGTCAATTGTAGCACAATTAAGACGGTCGATCCCACGAGGAGGTGACAAATTAAACAAGAAACGATTAACAAATAAAAAGCGTTAGGAGATAAATAATAAAATAAAAATAAAAGAGAATGAAATTTTTGTTGAGAAGTTTAAGCGTGAGAAAAATGTATAAGAAAATTATATAATTAAAATCGGTAAGGCGTCGAGATTCCCCTATATTCTTGGATCACCCGAATGGATTTTGATTTTTGAGATTACTCAATTGAAAGTTTCACATCCCAAATTAACAATTAGAAAATAAATATTTGAAGAACATGTGAATTAAAATGTATTCGAGTGAGTAAAATTCTTACGTTTAGAACTAGGAAAAATCATCTTATGAGAAATCTAAAAGCGACAATATACCGGTGGCAATATTGCAGTAAAAGACTACTCATAAAATAATACCTACCAATATCTAGAATCATGCAACAATCACAGAAAAAGAGCTTGACTAGATTTATATAAAAGTTGACAATAAAATATATCAATATGAGAAATTAAAAAAAGATAGAAGAAAATTAATCACTCAAATATATAAACTTTGAAGAACAAATGGAGAACCAAAATCCACTCAAGATCACTTCACATATAGGTTTCTCTCTAACCTCACCAAAAAGAAAAAAATGTGTTTAAACTTAGACTAAAAATCAACCCCTAATACACTTAACAAAAGCTCTATTCAGCAAAGGAGAAATAAAAACAAAGAGAGAAAACGCCCTAATCCACTTAAACTGGATTTACAAGGTTTTATTTTAAGAGTGACTGCTGAAATTATCCCAACGGAACGAAACGGAACAAAAGAATCCCAAACGGTGGGACACGTGTCGCGCGAAGAGAGGCTGCGGGGAGTAAATGGCTGATAGCTTCAGACACGTGGCGAGCTGTGGAAGGAGCTCAGTTGCACGCGGGACCCAAGCGAAAATTGGATGGAAAAACGCCTAATGCGCGCGTGAGAAGAACTCGCCTAGGGGAAAGGCTGTGTGCGCCACGCGCGCGTGCGCAAGGGGACAGCTGGGTCCCACACGTCTGTGGCACGCCAAACATTGACACGTGGCACGGGGGAAGGAGCGGCTCGGGCTCGGCTCGGCTCGGCTGACTGGCGGGCTTGGTGATGTCTTTTGATGGGCTTCTTAATGGGCCTTTTTCTTCTTTTTATTCTTTTTAGTTTTGGTCCAAATGTCTTATTTCTCTACAAAATAAATTAAATTAAATTAAAATTAAATACTTTCATAAAAAATTAATTCCACGAAAATATTTAATTAAAACTTAATTTATTTAACAATTATGAACAATTTAAGTGCATTTTCATGCACTTATCACAAGCTTACTGCTGTTGAGCGTTTCTTCAAGAATTATTCTAAAATACCATGAATGGTCGATCCTTCTCTCAATGAGACAACACTCACCTTTAAAAGCTGACCCTTTAGTGGTATTGTGATAACCACGTAGAGCTCGATTGTTGTTTGACGTGGCATTGTAAATTTTCCCTCACAACACTAAATATTATTTTTTTCAATATTTCTTTTTCCAAATATAACCCTAGTAAAACAGCTATCATACCAAACTTCTACAAAAGGGAGATACGATACCAAACAAAAAAACGATACTACCAGAAAAACTACTGAAATATGTTACTCATAAAAAAAACTAGTAGTATACCATTTACTATTGATATTTATATCATTTACTATTGAAAAATACCTTTTGACTAATTCATTGTCTAAAAAAATATTAATCAACTTCAGACCCATACTCATCCATACTCTCTTAGATATTTGTTTCTTTTTGTCTAATAAAAGTGGTATTTCTAAAGATTATAAGAAGTCGTATTTTTAATCGACCAGGGTTCAATCATTGCTATGGGGCTCAGAGGCGCACGACCTTAAATTAAATATCGGTTTTCTGAATTTTTTTCTTTTATTTTCTGGTTACTAACTTTTTTTTTTTTAAGAATTATTTAATACTAGCTTGCTTTTTGTTAAGTGGTGATGTGACTTTCTATGATTTCTACGTTACGATTTATAAGTTTTCTTTTCAACTGCTCGAGTTATTTTTATAATTTTATTTTGAGTCTTACGTCTCACCTCGTCAAGGCAAACCTCCCGAGTACCTGATTGTGCAATTGAAAACCTTGAAGAGAGGATTGACTTGAATGATTTTTTTTCTTTTTTAAATGGATAAATATAATTCAAAATATGAAAAGGCATTACAAACACTAATTCATACATATAGCTACTACTATAGGAAACACGGCATCACGAATAACCAGTTCCATTAGTAAACCCGAATGAAGCTCAAACAAAAATTGTGTACCGGAAATAAAGATCCAACTTCCAGCCTTTATCTCAAAATATGTCGGCGGGTGTCCACCATGAAGTATAATTCCTTGCGCCGTATCCGATACAAGGAAAAGATACAACTGAGGCTTCAATCAACTTCTGTATTATTATCGAAATCAACTTCAACAAGCAATTGATGTACCATCTAGCCCTGCAATCAATTCCAAGCTTTCGCCAATCTCCATTAATCGGTCCATAGCTTTGCTAACATCTGCCCTAGGATGGATAACAGCAAGAAATAATTTCCAAGGCAATTCATAGTAAAGAGCAACTACTGCCACCAGTAATTCATAGTAACTTTAAACATCCTAGATGATGTTTTATATACCTTCTATATCACATAGTTTACAGTGGGATAATTCATTTAGATGGTGAACTCAAACAACTGTCACTAGCAATTTCTTAAATAAAGGTAATAAAGAGATTAACAATTTCCAGTGACTAGTGAGAATGCAAACAAAATTATATATCCAAATCATAATCTGGGTCCTCATCAGAATCAGGCATCTCATCTTCTGAATCACGGAAATATATTATCTCGCCTTTGCTAGAATCATTCGTTTCTGATTTCCCGGTTGAAACAGATGTCATCTCATCTTTTGTATTCGTAAGAGATCTTCGACCATCATAGATTTGTATAGGTTTACCATTTCCTACAAGTTCAAAAAAATAATACTAATAATACTAATAATAAAAAATAAAACATGAGCATAATAAAGACCAGGTAAAGAGAGAAACTAAACTAATTTCCAATCTTCAACATAAGAGGGGGAAGAAAAAAAAACCCAAGAGCTTATTCAACAGACAAAGAACCAAACAAAGCAATGGTAAAAGATGCCATTCTTGGTTTACCTTGATGTTCGAATGGAAGGACAACACTAGCCCTGTCAAGTCGCTCCTTCTCTGAGAGCTGAAGATTAAACTGGACCTGTAGAAAAGAGCATCTCTTCTTTATTACGTAGAATGAGAAAAGCAAAAGTTATAGAAAAATGTAATTATTTTACATCTAAACTTCTAATGCGTGAGCCAATGAATGTAAATCAGCAAGTGCATTTCTTTGTGCGTGCAAGTGCAGTTCTATTTATGTACTAGTGCAACTCATTGCCTGCATAAAAATTAGCTGTCTTTATAACAAAGTATTACATCTCATTCTACCCAGATTCCAGATAACTCATAATGATGCCCTATAATGTTAACATGAAAGTAATCAGTCAAATAAGGACTTCTAGTTCCAATTTAGAAACTACCGTCTACAAGAGAGATGAACAGAGTGGGGAAAAAGACTCCCGTTAAGATAAGAACAACTAACCTTCGGAATAAGGCCTTCATTTATCATTCCATTGTCAGATGAAACGGATGTAAAGTTAACATCTGACTGCTCTACACGAACCTCTTCACACTGAATTTAATATTACAAGGACATTAGATCAGATCAGCTAACAACTTAGTAAATAATTATGTGAGTATGTGTGTCTAAAATAAACACACGACACAATATGCACACACACATATAGGGAACCAGAGATAGAGAAAGGAAGAGAGAGATCACCGCCACTCGAACTCGTCCATTTCTACGCTTGAATCGGACATGAAACTTCCCTTTAGCAAAACTTTGTTCAAGCAAAGGAAAGGTATTCATATTACTCCTCTGTCCATTTCCAAACTGATTTAACGGTTCTACACTGGCCACCATGGTGGAGAGGTACTCGAAAGCAGCAGTGACCCTGTCTTCATGAAGATCTGAATGTAACAGCCAAAAGATACTTGAAACCTGATCTGTAACCACAAAGATGAAGCTGCAGTTACAAATGGTTGTCTGTATATATCTACTGAACCGTCAATTTATGTAATTTATGCGAAAACAATTGTAAGGTCCGTTTTTATCCTGGTGTCAAAAGTGGTGTTGCAACATTTTATTGTAACACTTTTTGTGACAGAAAATCTAAAATTAAACCAGCAAAATAGTAAAGCAGGAAACTAATGCAGAAACGTAAAGGACACCAAAAAAATGATATCGCAGTTCGGTGCGCACACCTAGTCTGCGGGGCCACGCCCAGACAATGATCAATCCATTCAGTTCAAAAGATTACAAAGGACTAAACGGTCTTACACACTCAACGACTCCCTCCTTGACGATGTCGCCGTTGCCTAAAATCTCTTTAAAAAGCTTGATCAGCGAGCACCACTCGACTTGACGGTTTCCTCCCAAAACCAAAGAAATCTTCTCCCGAAGAACCAATTCAAAAGTGTTCTCACAATCCGTCGCACACAATAAGTGACTCTTAACATTACAATCTCATACTCACATGAACACACACAGCTTTTTCTGTATTCAACACATATTCTTCACCTCACGTTATTCACAGCATCAAAACCCTCATGCCACTGTATTTACCATCACAGAATCACACCCCTCAATCATCCACGATAAGCACATCCAATCATGGTAATATCTCCTCCATTAACACCACAAATCAGGTCACCAGCCCCAATGACAGTAAGAAGATAATCATACCCAATATTTTCCACAATTCTTTCCTTATAAGAGCCAGCCATAATGCTCTAGAAAGTTCACTCTTGATTTTCAGCAATCAAGATTTTTGATTTGTAGCCAATAAACATGACAACCAAACTTTCTTTAAGAGGACTACCAATTTACAATGCCAACCAATCTTACAACCAATTTGCCAAAAATAAGCCAACACAAAAAATGCACTAACAACAACAATGTCATAGTACATCACCTGAAATGTCAGCAAGGGTTGTAGATCAGGCTATAGTGCCAATAACATGTGCACAGGTTGAATTCTACTCTCTATATCTTTCCATCTTCTACCTCATTAGGACATTTTCATCATTTCAGTTTATATGTGTATGTCTGTATGTGTGCGTGTGTGTGTGTGTATATATATTAATTAATAAGTGCTAGGGGTGTCAATGCAATTTTCCCTAAGACAACATAAAAAAATGTGAAGAAAATATTTGACATCACTGCAGTTGTAACATGAATAAAGAGTAAAGTAAAACTGGTATATACCATGGCTACGAAGGTTGCTCAATAGGCCTGAAACTGATGACACCGATGCATGTCTTACCATTTCACTTACCTGGAAGTTGTATGAAAACAATGCACAAAAAGGTGGCAAGATGAACAATTAATAAATAAATAACAACTGGCCATCCGAAACTTTTAAAGCTATACAAGCGTGCAACAATTAAATGGAAATGAATAGAGTCTAATCAATTCAAAATTACTGCTACACAAAATTTTGAGGTATTGGCAGTTTTGAAGTGACAATCCTGATTAGTGAATATCAGGTAGATATTATAGGTTAGTAAAGATAAAACACTTCTTTTCTTTTTCTTCCTCAAGTTTCAAATTAAAATATTTTCCTCGTATCTGAAGCATTCATTAGCCACATAAGCTTTTTCTTGGGAGAAAATGAACCCATTCCTAAGATATTTTCGTACATCATTAGCCCTTTGTAGGAAGTGGCAGATAACTCACAGTTAAATTCTGGTATATGCCTTTAAACTCGTCAGGGAGTTTCCACACATCACAATGAAACAGACTAAATGAGAAAGAAACATATTGTACTATCCAATTTCAGACAGAAGATTAACACTCAAACAATTACCAAAGAAAAACACTTGTTGCATAGGGCTAAGTCAAACCTTCCTCCCAACCCCAAAAAGTATTTTCTTTTTCTTTGCCTGACCCCAAACGTACATGAAGCCCTTCAATACACAAAAATTATATAGTCACAATAACAGGCCGCAAATTACCGAGTCTATTGCGGCAGAAAAACGAACTTTTCCTTGCCCAACCAATCCTACAATTATAAGAAAAAAAACATTGAAAACGATTACTAGTACCTCCAAATACTCAATTTTTAAGGGAAAAAAAATCAGCTGTATATCAACCATAATAACGGTAGAGAATTACCTTGACCAAGCTCGATTATCGTCGATAACAACTTATGCACGTCCTTCACATTCTTACAAGAACTAGCTACATTGGAAGTTTCAAGAGAAAAACCATCTTTCCAACCGAGAGGATCTGAGTAACAATCCAACCGAGAGGATCCGAGAAAAACTTACTTAGACGGGTGGCCTTATGGGCTTGCCCGTCGAACCTGAAAAATTCAGGCTTTAGACAGACCTGCTGACCTGAAGTTTCAGCATTAATAGATCAACACTTCTTCCTTTGACATTTCTGGAGAACTCTAGGAAAGCAAATGGGAGTAACAAACGATCGGGGGTATATCAACATTTTAGTAATTTTCTCATTTGCGCTTTTATCACCAAAAAAAAAAAAAAAAAAAAAAAAAAAACCTAGCCGACAAAAAAGGAACGTCAAAAGTTGACGACGATCGAGGTGCTTTAAGTGTAAGGTACCCGTAGATATATTTTTTATTTGTTTGTTAAGGCACTTACAACTGTTCCGATTCCTTTGCAACTTGGCCTGGACTCAACTATCTTTTTTGATCTTCTACTCTTTTAGTAAACTGTAACAATCTTCGACTGTGATGTTTTCACCATATTATCCATGTACTTGGGGTACTTTCTTTTCACTAATAAAATTCTGTTTCTTGTGAAAAAAAAAAAAAATTTATCTCCAATCATTAGCAAATTAATATTTTGAGTTGAGTGACAGGTTCATTCGATGGTTTTTTCTGCTTCTTTCCTTTTTGAGGGAGAAAGGAAACATTTACAAATTTTCCTACTTTACATGTAGAAAGAAAGGAGTGGAACTTGATATCCGGCATTTTATAGTTTAGTTCAACAGAAAACCTGCATGCATTAATATTAGACCTAACTCTTTACTTCGGCTCTTTTTTTAAACAGGCATACAAAATAGCAAACTACTACCACACTACCAAATTCATAAAAACTAGCAAACCAGTACCATACGCATACAAGGGTCAGCTTTGGAAGAGAGGGCAGCATTTTTTCGCCCCTTCTTCTCAGGGCTAAATAAGAAAACTAAAATAAAAATTCTCATGCAGCACCAATAGGTAGTAGGGAATTACACATGGATTAATAGGGGTTGTTGTTGTCATTGTCAGTTCTGTCGCCTCTGATTTGACCGTCACTGTCGTCGCCGTCGCCGCCGCCGTAACCGTCATCGTTGTTGCCGTGACCGTTGTCGTTGCCGCCGTGAATAGCTATGTTCTGAAGTTGAACCTCGTGATATCGCCCACGCAGAACTGGAGTTGCCGATATCCACGTGATGAATGGAATCCAACTCACGATGACCGATAGAAACGAAAGGAACCGCCAAGTAGGGATGTTGCCATTCATCCCAATCGCCGACACTTCTCTGCCCTCAGGCACCATCTCGGACCCCAAACCTCCACTCCCACACCCCAAACCTCCACCCCCACCACCTCCGCCCATAACCACTCCTTCCGAACCAGAGTTTTCCCCGCGAACCGAGCCTCCTTTCCCCACGAGCACCGTTTCGGACCCCAAACCTCCACCCCCACCACCTCCGCCCATAGACACTCCTTCTGAACTAGAGTTTTCCCCACGAACCGAGCCTCCTCTCCCCACGAACACCGTTTCGGACCCCAAACCTTCACCCCCACTACCTCCGCCCATAGCCACTCCTTCCAAACCAGAGTTTTCCTCACGAACCGAGCCTCCTCTCCCCACGAGCACCGTTTCAGACCTCGAACCACCTCTACCTACAGACACTCCTTTTGAACCCAAGTTTTCCCCGCGAACCGAGTCTCCTCCCTCCACAGGCACCGATACGAACCCCAAGTCTACACCATGCTCGCTCACCCTTGCATTCTCACTCACGGATCCACAGCACCATCCAAGCCTCTTGTGATGGAGGTACCCAATTCGTAAACTAATCAATGTCCAGCCGAGAACGAGATATAGGAGGTGCAAGTTCGGTGTGAGTTCTTCAAAAAACATAGTTAAAAACTGATACATAACGAAGATCATACATATTGTTTGAAACAACAGAGGACCAAAATGTTTGTATGAAAAATGCATATTCCACCACTTAAAGCAACATTTGAACAGCTCCTGAAATTCAAAAAGGATTAGTACGAGTTCACTATACGCCAAAAACAGGTGGAAGCCACTCGAGCCGGACTCTTTACGGGGAGTTGGCTCGGCCGCCGCAGTGGGGCATCTGCTCAAATCCTTCTTCTCCATCATTATCAACTCAGTAATCAGAGTCAAGAAATTAACTAACACCGAGAGATGTAAGGCTAGAATTAGTATTTTTCCAGCTATTTTTTTAGCTATGTTTGCCATGACAGAGGAGTTAAAAGAAAGAACAGAAAGAAGGCAGTTAAGACATAAAAGAAAAAAAACCCCGGTTAGAATGGTTCCCATCTGCATGAGTGAACCTGCGCCGTTGAGGAAGAAAAATCCAAATTATTGTGCTTGTTTGAGCCGGGTACGCGTGCCGAGGACGCTTAGGACTCTCAAAAAAAGTGAACTCAAATTATAATTTTTTTTTAACTTGATGTTCATTTGTAAAGTTTGAATTTTTAAGTTTTAACTCGAGTTTTAAATTAAAATATGAATTCAACTTTCTTTTTAACTCAAGTTCTTAAACTCAAACTCAAGTTAATGAATAGTATTTTTTTTATTCTTAAAAACGTTTTAATTCCGATTGAGATGTTTTTTTTATGCATTCATAACGAAGAGACGAATAAAACTCCACCTATATATTCTATTAAAATTTTTCATCACTATTGAGTTTTTATTAAAATATTATCTAAATACAAATTCAAGTTTTGACCAACTCAAACATAAATTCAAATAAATTCTCAATTCAAATTATAACTTAAATGTGCACATTTAAACACAAACTCAAGTTACAATATTAACTCAAATTATAACTCAAATTTAACTCAAAATCTATACTTAAATTACCATAACTCAAAAATACAACCGAATAAGCCCTTAATCATCTGCTTTTAGCAGTGAGGCATCTGCTCAAATCCTTCTTTTCCGTTATTATTAACTCAGAGTGAAGAAATTAACTAACACAGATGAAAGGTCAGAATGAATATTTTTCCAACTATTTTTTTAACTATGTTCGCCATGATAGAGGAGCTAAAGAAAAAATAAAAAGAAGGCAGTTAAGAAGAAATAAAAGAAAAAAAGCCCGATTAGAATGGTTCCCGTCTGCATGAGACAGTGACCAGGGATCGTGAACCTGTGCATGACGTACAATAAAAGTCCAAAATATTAGATACACAAGAGGCAAAATCCATCCAATCAAGTTGTCACACACAAGCCCTTGCAAAATCCATCCAATCAGCTTTCAGTTGTCACACTGAAGTTATCGCACGAAAATCAGCTTGCAAAAGCCATCCGTCCAATTTGTTTTCAATACGGGAATCGACATTTAAGTCTCGTTAATTTTATCAATTTGAGTTTTTAATTTTAAATTTTTACAGTTAAAATTTTTTAAAAAATATCACATCTAATTTTTTCTGTTACAGTAAAAAATTCTTAAAAAATATTACATTTTAACTCGAATTAAAAACTCGAATTTACGAAATGAACGAAGCCTTATTTGTTTTCAAATCATAAATCATGTGCATATTTAAACACAAATTTAAATTAGAATTTCAATTTAAATTATACTTAAATACACCTTAATTTAAATTAAGATTAAATCATCTAAACTCAAAAAATGTAAATGAATAAGCCTTAAATCTCTCACTAAACTAACTGAACTTCATGAAAGTTGTTCAACGTACATTTTTTATTTTTTATTTTTTTGGTTTACACCTCAGTGAGGAAAATTTATTAAAATTGAAAGAAAAAATACAGAGAAGTTAAGAATACAACAAGAAAAAAACAAAACAAAACAAAACATCAAGTCTTAAACCTATATCTTGTATTATCAGAAGCATCCAAATCAAACTCTAAGAACAAAACTTGAAACATTATGGCACCAAGTGTAACAACCAAAAAGTACACCAAAACTAGCCAAACCATCAGCAGCAGTATTAATCTCTCTATAAGAATGAGAAATAATAAAATCCATAGAGCATCCAAGTATTTCGAAGAGACAACGAGCGTGTTTGATTCACAACTCAAGTTAAGAACTCAAGTTGTGTTTGTGAGAGAAAAATACTGTAGTAAAAAAGTCAAATTTAAATTTTTATAAGAGAAAATACTGTAATAATACAACTTGAGTTGTGACGAGTACATGAAAATGTACCATAAATACTGTTTTTTATTTATATAATATTTAAATATTTAAACTTTAATCAAACAATTCTATTATTTTTATTCGGAATATTTTTAATTGGAATTTGTATAATTTTCACTTAATTATTTGTAGATGAAAAGTAGTGTAAAAAATAAGTCAGAGATTGAGAGATTTATTTGTTAAGATTAACCATAACAGGTCTATCTTTTTCTTTTTTTTTTATTTTGGTTTTTTGAGCTTAATTCTTGTTAAAAAAAAATTAGAAAGCTGTCTGAAAATATTAAAAATCTAAGAATTTCAGTGCCCAATAATTCCCGAAAGATCCTTGACTCACTAATAATTTTGTTTCTACAAATGAAAGATTGAACATAGTTTTTGGCATGGGGGCAGATATATTATAATTATACTTAATGATAAATGGCAGTTTGTTTTGTGTGGTCTTGACACCTGTTGGTCAAGGAGAAATAGTATCATATGATGGTCTAATTAAGCACCTCTTTATCAAATACCCAAATGGAATGTCAATTCATGTATTAAAATCATACTGGACCACTAGGGGCTACAGACCCTGCAAAGACAACACCGTTGGCCACGTTGATGCTAGCATGCAATATGTAGAATTTTACCGAGGTTTGGGATAAAATTGTCGGATTGTTTCCCCTTAAGTTTCGGTACCTTGATGATCCTCAGAACACTCAAATTACAGGAATAGCACTCAAGAAACTAGAAACCTAGAGATTATAAATTTTTCCCAATAAAAAATCCCTAGAGAAAATAGTGAGAAGAAAGAAAGAACGCTCAATTTCTCTCTCGACTTTCTCAATCATAATACAAGATTTTCTCTCTCTAGAAAACTCAATCTCTCTCACTGTTTTTCTCTCTTAGTTCAAAGTGCTGGAATGCAAATGTACCACCCATTAATAAAATCCCTTTATATGCTTTCCTTAACCGACAAAAGAAAAAGGAGGATAATGACTTGACAACCACTTTCACAATCATGACATGCTCTCCTTCTAAGTGACCACACCATAAAACGCAGCGCTCCATTTGTTTCATTAGGAAACGACACTTCTGTGAATGCTTCAGTGCTTTACGACACTTCATTGCATGCTTCAGTGCATTTGTCATTTACTGAGATTATTTCAACAACTACTATAACCTTTCTTTCAGTAAATCTGGGATAATCATTTAAGACACAAACTTTTTAGAGTGAATTTTAAGTACACATTTGTTTCTGCGCATGTGTTATTGTGAAAAAAGTGCTGAAATTGAAAAACCAGCCAAGAGTAATTAGATGCTACATTTTTGTTGTCTGAACCTTAGTTTAGAAGATGCGAAACCAAATCTTAGTTTCACCAAGCAAGAATGGAAATGAATTACGACTCTCCCCCGCCGTTCTGTCGATCGCCTTTCGAGCTGCGCAGTACAGGACTACAACACTGTGTGGTTCAAAGTGAAGGATTTGACGGTGATGATCGACGAGAGGGAATCCGCGGTGGCCGGAGTTTCGAGGGTGAGGTTTAAGCTTAGGGCTAGGGTTAGGTATAGAGGCATGGCATGGACAAAGAAGGA